AGCTTCCTGCGAGGGTGTCTGCATCAGGCCCTGCATGTGTCTGCTTCATTATGTTCTTAACGTGACATGTGGAAAATTAAAAACATGTCCACATTAAATAGAGGCCTTCTGTCAATTAATGGCATAATCAAATAAGTCAACAGAAACTAATTTATTTTATTGAAATGTTCTATAATTAATTTCAAGCCAATTCTTCCATTTCAGAAACAATTTTTTTTTCCCATTTGGCACTAATTCCGTTACCCTTATTTTTATTTCTTAATTTGCTCAATCTGAGAATTAATTGTATTTAACTGATAAGATGGATGAGGATATCTTCTGCCAAAAGAGGAAAATTCTTAAAAAATAAAATCTGTGTTTTGCAATACTCCTGGGTTTCAAATGTTTTACTGGGAACATGATGTGGCCTCATTAATTCTTAAAAATCCTAAAATTAAGTCTGACAAGAAACCCAAGCACACCACACGAAGAGCTGATTTGTAGACTAAGTGATGGGAAGAATGCACTTGAGGCTTTGCATTATTGAATTAAATACTATTTGTAAGTCATTTTACTGCTAACGAGGATCTGCAATCAGGGAGAGCAAATTGAGGCGACATCTTAAGGAATGAAAGGACACCACTTCTCTTAATGCGCTCCTCTAATTTAAAGGCATCTCTCCCCTGCCCGTTTGCCTGCCCTCTACAGCCTCTCCTCCCCTTGTGCAGTGGGGTGACTTTTGCCTGTTGCTCTTGTGTCGTGTTTCAGAAGAACACAAAATAGAGGAAGGGCCGAGCACTCCAGTTGACCTTCTGCTGGCATGACTGTGCGAGTCACTACCCCCCTCCAGAGCCCCTGTCTGTGCCCTTCCTCACCGCCTGGCCTCTCTGCTGGTGGGAGCTGTGACTGCCTCATGGCCAGGGCGGTGCCGCGAACAGACGCCTGAAGGAATGCACCTCGTTCCCGGGGCTTGCTTCCATCGTCTGAAATTTTCAAATTACAGAGACTCGTTTCTATAATGCAAAAGCATGTGCAGCTGTTTTACTTTTGTTCTGTTTTCACAGCAGCCTCCTGCATTAGAGGAGCAGCTCAGAACCTTCTCTTGAAGACTGTGTGAGCAGAGACTGCGGCCAGCACGTTTGAGTTTTTAAGACTTCAGTTTTACACGCGGTGTGTACCGTATATACAGTCGAATGCTCACCAAAGACTGATGATTGCCTTTGGGAGAAACAGAGATTTTCAGCCCTCGGCTTCAGGTAGATATGTACACCTTAAAATGTACAGACGGTTTGCAGAAAAATCATCTTAACCTGGAAAATGTTATATCTTTTCATGTTTAATGAGAAGAGAGGGAGATTAACCATGTTATGATGATAAAAAGGTCGCCCTGGAGCACAGTCCTTGCGGAGAGATAGCTGAGAAAAGGCATGCCGATTTATTCTCCGGAAACAGAAAGCAGGGACAAGGCCAAAATGAAAGGAACTCGATTTCGAAGCTGCTGTTGCCTAGCATGATGCATAATGAGTTCGACCCCTGGGGACAAACTAAAAAAAAAAATTCTCACGGCTGAGTCTTTCCATGCTTTCCTTTCGAACAGCACACTTCCTGGAAGGACCACATGTCAAGCAGTCCTTTAAAGAACATTCTTACAAATACTATGGCTTAAGAAAAGCTTAATTTAAACTCCACAGAAATTCAATTTTCTCACTGGGAACTGAAAGAGAACTTTTGCCCCATACTTGAAAAGTGGTTGGCAGACTGATTTTCAAAGCTTTTTGCTCCCACGCTTGATTTGCGACCTATTTTCAGAAATTATCGCTGATCCGTCTTAAATTGTGAGGGACCTGGCTGAACTGTAGCCCTAGTGCAGAGGAGGCGACGGTATGTTGATGACCAAGATGCACTGTGGCTGTAAGCTTTTTCCATTCATGTCCAGATTCAGCTACCTGATGTACATGTATCTAAGCAGCTAGATAATTACTTTTTCCTTTGTTTCAGAAGTCACATTTTCTGTTTTTACTGATGTCTTTGACTGTGGTGTAGCATCTTGAGTAAGAGGAGAAAAGCAAAAAAATAACTGTTGCATTTTCATCCAGTAAGAAGCCATATAACCCAAAAGAGACAAAAATCACAAACACATCTCAGTAAACACAGCTATTTTTTAAACTTTTTAGCTTTAGCTACAGAAGTTTAGTCCTGTAACTAAATGTGTCGAAATTGCTTGTCGAAGAAATGTTTTGTACCTGAACTAAATTCGTTTTACCACAGCTGAGTGAACCTTTTTTTTAGTTTGGGATTTGTCTTTTGAGAATTCAAGCCTTGATTGAAAACCTTCACTTTTTAAAAAATGTGTTTGTTTTTTAAATTTAACAAAATGGGTCGTCTTCGGAAAATTTCCTCAGGGCAATGTGAATTGTGCCCATTTTCCTGAAATTCCCCATACATCGAAAGCAGACTTAAACAGGCTAAACTTGCTAACATGCTGGCTGTGCTATCTGTCCAGTAATTCCTGTGGCTCACACAGTAGGTTTCCACTTTAGTTTGTCTCACCAACAGGCTTTTACAAATTCTTGGCAGGACGCATGCAGCGCATAACTCTGTCTCAGTTCTACATCTCAACTGCAAGGTGAACCAAGTGGGCTGTTTCCGACTGTAAATGTTGCGGACGGACTGTGTTTGCTGGAAGACCATCAGATAATTTCAGGACACTTTCTCCTCATTACCTGCCAGAGACAGAGCTGCTCCTCTGCTTTCCAATTCAGTTCCGATTCTCTGCAGAGTTTTGAAACAGCAGATGGTAATACAATTTTTTATGATATAGAAATATTTATGATTGCTTGTCACAGCCGAAGAGAAAGGCAAGCTGTGATTCACTTTCACCCAGTCAGATACCTGTCAAGGCACCATCCCTGTGCAGATATAAAGTGCCTTACACTTTACTGGGCCATGCAGGCCTCAGAGGACATTACCTGCACCAGATTACTGTATTTTACGAGTTTAATGGTAAAACTAATGTCTAGGCATCTGTTGATAACTGTCTAATGTCTAATGTAAGTTCTACAAAGCGTTGTGGTTGAGATTTTGATCTAGATGGAGGTTTTCTTATTGATATCAAATAATTCTACAGGGCTAACATCATATTTGCACCACTATGTTGATGATGTATAAATATACACTCGCTAATACATGCCCCATTTACTAATTTGCAACCCAAACCCAAAGTCTACCCGGTATATTAAAAGACCCCGGTCCTCTTGTACCCACCTTAAGCCCCGCAGAAGCAGATAAAAGCAGCCTGCAATCACACTGCTGGAACAAAGGAAGAAGAAAGCAGTCCGACAGCTTTCCGGTGGTATCTGATTGCACATCGACTATAACTGAATGTGACTGGAACTGGTTTCCCGGCATTAAAAATATATGAAATCCTTGCAGATGTTTTGTGTGCCTGTCAGACAGAACTAGAAAGCTGTTTCCTGGTTACAAATATTGCCTTCAGACAGATCATATGCATATGAAAAAGACTGAACGGAGCAGCCAGGGATGATCTGCCTCGCTTTGTTTCGCCTTGTTCAACAAAGTGACACACCAGCTCTGTGCTTTAGCTTCAGCTCAGTGGCCTAGACAGCCACACGCCGATACTCTTCACAGTCCTTTTTTTGTTCCATTACATTTTTTTCCTAAGGCGATCGATTTTATTTAATGATGACTTTGCACGACTGTTTTAGTCATCAATTCTCTTCAACGTCAATCAGTTTGTCCCATCGGCCTGGCGCCCATACGGCAAGAGGTAGAGGAGGAAGAGCAGGCTCTCCGAGTCTTCCTCCAGCGTGCACCCATGTGTTGCCGCGGTGCTGAGTGACCCGCCTGCGCGGACAGCAGGTCTCTGTCTGGAGGTGATGTGTTCACTCCAGCAGTGACACAGGGCCGGGCCAGCTCTGTGCTGCCAGCTGGGGAAGACGGCTGTTTAGCAGAGATGGGTGTGGGTCATTGCGACAGACCGGCGGACCTGCCACTAGAGGTTGTGTGATTGCCTGTACACCTGAGGGACATCATGAAGATTAACTAGATAATTGGAATGGGCGGAGAGCCACATTCTCACATGGGGTTAAGTGAGAGTCATTTGGTATACAGACCCACAGAGATAGCTGGTGTTGGGCTGGTTTAGAGCAAGTCCCGTTATGTGTGTTATTAAGCAAAGACTTGCCTTAATAAAGACTCCTGTGCACAATATTTAGCTGCCCATCATGGTTTTCATGTGCTCTCGAGTCTCAAGAGCCACCTGTTTAGGACAGATTGTCACAGCAATATATAATAATAAACTTCAGGCATTCAAGCTTTTATGGTTCTTCAGCACTTAGATTGGTTAATTAAAACTGGCCTCGTTTTAAAACCATAATTTAAAAAAAAAGAGTATTACCGACAGACAACTGAAGCTGCTTAAAAAAAATGAAACAAGCCAGGAGCTCGTCCACACATGTTCGTTTGGTACAGAAAGGAAATTATTTTTTGTCTTTTCTCAGCCCACCTGCATCACTCATCTCTCTTTTCTGAGCAAGGTCAGGCTCGCCCCAGCACTTCTGCCACCGTTCAATCGAGTGCGTCAAGCATGTTTTTGATTGTTTGCGTGTCAGTCTTTCTTGCTCTTTATTTTGGTACAATGTGAAAGCTGGGGGCAACAGCCCCCTTCCAGCTCGCTGTATTGTGCTCGGCCAGGAGCTCGGAGAGGCCGGGTCTCTCACCTGAAATTGAGGGCACTGCCTACCGAGATTGGGGCCGGGAGAAGGCGTTTCATTTCAAAAATACACTTCAAGTAATTCCAGCGCAACGCAGAAATGATTGAATCTCCACGTCGAGACAGCCCACAGTACAGCACCGAGGGGAAAGCGGCGAACCTCAGAGCCGACCCCCACACATCAAGCAGACACGTGAAAGGAAAGCTGTCAGGACAGAAATAAAGGACCTGACGCTGTGAACAGAAGAAAGCAGAAACCATCATGGAGACTAGGGACTGATATGCAGGATTATTTTTTAAATAGAATGGGGCTTTTAGGGCACCACCCTCCCATTTATTTTCATTGAGCTGTTTATTTTACAGGATGATGAAGAGCTTTGTTATTACCGGCCACAAGAAGGAAAAATTCTTCTTCAACATCAAAGGTCGCCATTAAGAAGTGCACAGATGAGAATATAACATGCACACGAGCAGGCTTTCAACTTTGGAAAGAACTCCAAACGTTTTTTTTTGTAATAAAATGACTATTATTGTCATAACTGTCTCATCTTCTTTCACGGGTTGCTGAAACACGGACTGCTTGGACTGCTTTGATGTGGCTTTTGTCTTTCCTTTGCCACAGCCAGGCCGGGTAGAAGAGGATCAGAAAATGAAAGCAATGTCACCCTGCCTGAAAAAGCAACATTGACGTTACACCTGCCACGTGCGGCAATCGCAGAGACAGGGTCGCGAAAATTCATAAACACTGTGTTCAGCTTCTATATTCGAGAGGACGTGGTTTGTTTTTTTTCCCCATAACAAGCAGGCAGACAGCCTGGGATATCACTCATACCCCTCAATCGCTAACAAGCGAATGTCTGCATCGATCGGCCATGGTCAACCTGCAGGAAACAGCAGACCGTGCTCCGTCTCCACAACTGAGCCAGAGCCGGGCTGCGTCAGGAATAAAAACACACCTCCCCCGAGAACTGATCGAATGCAATTTCATATTTACAGATTTCCAATAGTACATCGCGCTCAGCAGGGGGCACCACTCCTGCTAGAGGCTGTGGATGACGGTACGGTCCCTCAGCTGCTGCACGTACTCCTTGGCCTGGTCGAAGCCCGTCCTCTGCTCCTCCTGTGGGGGCGTGCCCTCCACCAGCTTCACGAAGTAATGGCAGTGCACCTTATCCATGATGCCGAACATGCCCCGGCCGTGGTACCGGATCCTCTTCAGGTATTTGCCCTTCCCGGAGAACGACTGGGCTAGACAGCGGAGAAACGAGGTGGTGAGGTCCCTCTCGCCTGCTTTCAGAGCGCCACCGCCACGGTGAGCGGCGCGGCCCACGAGCAACGGGCAAACAAAGAGGGAACCCGGAGTTTAGAAACCATTCCAGAACATTCAGGGGGAAAAAAGCTCAACGTGCAGCGTTGGAGCACTACACCGCCTGCCACACTGAGTAACTGTAAATAACTGGCGACCTCTGCTGGGCTAAAGGACTGGCTCAAGTCATGAAGTTCTCCTCCTCTGTGTAATGACAAGACCGGGCCATCCAGCCAGGAAGAGCTGCCTACATTCCTGTACAATGACAGGTTCTATTACCGTGCAAGTGTGGAAAGTGCCCAGTGTCTCAGCCTCCACACTGTTTCTTGGCCATCTGGCTTTTATCTAGTTCCCACTTATATCAACACATTCTGTTTGTCGAGTGTCATCTAAAATAACTACTAGAGTCAACCTTATTTATTCAAATTTCTAAAAAAACAAGACATGTATTTTACTGTAGTGCAAGTATGCATTCCCTCTCTGTTCTCTTAACTCACCCTGATTACCACCTTCATTTCACATGAATATTTAATGAAATATAATACACAAATATTTTAGAGCAGAGGCTCACCAGAATACTGTTTCCTATTCAAAGTCAAGTGAAATCAGTTAAAAAGGCAAAACAAAATATTCGGTATTGCTACTCATAGCAAGTCAACTCTTTCCAGGTGACAAATTCCGAAGGTGAACCGCCACACCTGCTGGTAAAACACATTGGAGCACAAGCAGAACCAATGCAGGAGCAGTAAAAGAAAAGACAGATCCATAGGAAGAATTAATATTCCAGTGGAACATGAATACATTTATGCATAACACTGAAATCATATTTGATGACTTTTTTCCATAGCTCAAACTAATGTATTTTTAGGGGATTTGCGAAGAAGGATAACTATAAAGCACAGAGAATGAAAAGACTGCGTCTTACAGAAAAGGCATCACCTGGAATCGGAACAAATGCAGCGTGAGCAGAGATGAGTATATTACTTATCTAGCTATGACAATGAAGCTGGATCAGCAGTTTCTCTCTGTCCCCAAAATAAGAGCAGCTCTAGTAGGTCTGGTATAGGGCCTTATTGTTCTCATGCCAGGGCAGCATTTCCCACAGAAAAGCAGCAGCTGATTCACCAAGCAGTACAGAGAACACAGCAAGCAACTAATGAGCTTTTCTCAGGCAGATGGGCTCAGTAATCAGGAAGACTTTTTTTTTTCCTGCAGATAAACTCATGAAGAAAATAAGTCTGTTAATCTGGTTTTGATTTAGTCTTTTTAAATCACATTTTTTGGCTTACCTTCATTTCTCAAATCATTCTGCAGTGCATGTGTTGTTTGATTTTCCTGAGGACTATACTGTCTCTAGTTTCTCGTCTCTTGTCTATGAAGTGAACTCACAAAAATGTGAGACAGGAACCCACTAGCATGACTCTGCACATAAAAATGAATTAACAGACACAACAGCAGTGGGGAACACACTTACCTACATACAAATTTGATTTGTATTCTACGTTGTGGTTTCTCACTGCCATTTCCTGGGCTTCTAAAAGAACCTAAAATAATTAACATCAGGTTAATTAACTAGGCAAGACCCATACAGAATGAGTGAATCAAGTCCACTTATGAACACTTCAAAGAGCATCCCCTCAAAATTTAGAAAAGGCAGGTATTTTTCTTTTACCCTCCTCTGTTCCACATTGCCCACTGGGCTCTCTGCTACCATGTTTGTGTGAGCACAGAGGTGACTGGACCCATGAACGCCTCCCTTCCAAGCATGCTGCTGTCAGGCTGGTCCAGGAGCAACATGGCCATCACTGCCAATCCAGCACACCTACAGGCAGCCAAGCCTGAACAGCCAAGCAATATGTCAGCTAATGACACAGCCCTGGTGAGAGCTGGTGAAGCCTGAACTACAGGACTCAAGCTGTCCCCTGCAAAATAGTGTTACATCCTGAATCCTGCTCTCCGTATTATATACACAGTACATCAACATCCCTTTTCCCCACATTCGCTATAATCTGAGAGATCAAATTTCTGCCAAGACAAACTAATCCGAATATGCTCTGCCTTTCAGATATAATGTTTTTAGTGATAAGCTTTATTACTAGTTTATAGTATAACTAGTTCTAACTTATTAAAGCGCTTTAAGAAGCCACCTTTAAAGGCACTATATAAAATAAAGTTTATTATTATTATTATTATTATTATTACCTTTGGGGATCCAAACCCTGAAATAAAGGCACTGATAGACAGTAGTATTGAACAAACATTCTCTAAAAAAACATACAGGTGTTTCTGAAACATGTTTTGTGAAAACAAAATTAAATCTCTACAGCTTTAGACCAACAAACATCAAAGAGTCAGACTTTTTAGATTTACATAGGAAAACCTAGCACAATCAACAAAACATTTTAACCTTTCTGAGATTTAAGGATCGCTACATCAGCATCTTATCTCACCCACCTCTCTAATAATTGCAGCACCCTTCTTGTCATTGAACTCCAGCTGGGCCAAGGCTTGATCTATTGTCATTCCTCGAATCTGTAAGTATTAAATAAAACATTTTTTTATCATTTATTACGCGGCTGAAACGTTCATCCAAGGCAACTCTCTGGCAACCCTGGTGAAATAGTTCCTCATGTATCAGCCTGCTTGACTGTGCACCAGGGCAGCTGGCACACACCACTTCAGTTATGGAGGAAACGAGTCCTCTCCTAGAAGTACAGCACAATGGCATAAACAGCATCACATACATGCAAACAAATTATTACCTTCCCTAGAGAACACAAGGCTATTAATCAAAAGTCTAATTTACCAGTTTTGCCAGATACCACATCTTGTCCTTGCTGTACTTTATTTGTCTTCTACAGTGGTGTACTTCCTGCAAAGAAAGAGAGAAAGAAATATAATTACACAGATTACATTAATTAGATTGTACAGATTACAGTTTAATTACACAGATTCATTCAATTGATTGTCTAATTAATTAAGATTAGACCGGTAAATCCAAAAGTACAAAGTGGTACAACAAGATAAGATAAGATCAGATCAGATCACTTTATCGGCCATATACAATTTCTTGTATTAGGAATGTGTCTTTTCTCAGACCCCAACCTGCTTTCCATGAGACACACAGACAGGGAGAGAGGCTGGGGGTCAGAGCGCAGGGTCAGTCATTTATACAGCAACCCTGGAGCAGCTGGGGTTAAGGGCCTTGCTCAGGGGCCCAACGGAGTAGGATTCCTCTGCCGGCCTTCCAGCCACAGGCACAGATCCTGAGCCACAGAGCCACCACACCACACCAGTCAGTCAATTATTTTACTTTTTCCTTCCACCCACAGCTCCCCAAGGCTTAAATAACATGTGACAACACTGGAAAAGTCCAGTGGGACTTGGTACAACACAGGGGCCCCAGCGGCATCTCAAGCAAAGAACACCGGACAGGCCTCCTGACTGTCTGAGGCCCACCGAGGCCCAGTGTGCTGAGCCCACGGCTCACCACCGCGCACAGAGGGCGTGCAGCACTGAAAGCTGGCCGTGCTTTTAACTTGGAACTGGTGCCCTAGCGTGAATTCACCACAAACGAGCTTTCGATCACTCTGAGAAGCAATGCACTGAAACATCTCTTATATGCCAGGACTGCAAAAGCGTGACAGCACGCCTGCAACCACGCGGGGGAGCTCAAACTCACCGCGGGCCTGCGGGGCTCATCCGCGAGCTGCGGGGGATACACGATGCGATTCTTCCTCTCCCAGCTCTTGACCTCCAGAGCCGCACTCGAGTGAAAGCCGGAAGTCTGTCCAAAGCTGCATGACCCAAGCAACCTGCACAGAAGACACGCATTACTCACTGCTATTACACGGCCGAGTGTCTGTGCCAGGAACATGCAGTTCACGAGTGGGCTACAAACAAGGATAATCGTAAAGCGACACGAAACTATAGAAAAATCCCAATTGCCAATGACAAGGAGGTGATCCATTTCTGCAGGCCCAACGCAGTTACCTTATTCTTTCGAAGTGCCGCCATAGATTAAAATATTGTTGGTGTCCGAAAACGACCCCCTTTGCAAACTTATGAATTTATATTACTCACAAAGGACATCTACCGGAAAGACCCGACATCTTGATTTTATTGTGCTTAGCACTGTTTTAATGCATGTATCGGCGGAGAACACATGTCTACATGTTTCTTCTCTTGCCGATTTACACTTCAGGAAGCTGTTCAGTTTTACTGGGAATTGTGTATTGCTATGGTGCGTCCTTCCCCAAGACATAACAGCACAATGCTACTATTCAAATTGTAATTAACTTTACATACCTCGTCTGCACCCGTCCAGCAATGCTTCTTAAGAATGAACTACCTGTTGTGGAAAAAAAAATCACAAGTTTTTTTTTTAAATAAATCAAAAGTCACGTTTCAAAATACAAAAAAACGAATAATCTTACCCATTCCCAGCAAAGCGGACGCCGCCATAATACTTCCAGAATAAATCACTTTACGGCAGGAAGAGATGTGGAAAACTGCTGCAAAACCAAACACAAATCGCAAGGAGAAAGTGAATTGCTGAAGTTATAATACCGCAAAACAAGAAACGTTTAATATTAAATATCGTTAATCCCGCAGTGTTCATTCAAAATGATATAGATTGATGACCCCGCGACCCTCACCAGGCCAAACATAAAAAATGGATGGATGTTTATGACACTTGACCGTACCCGCAAGAGTTATAACGTTGATTCATATAAATTAATATTAACTCTTAAAAAAGCGGCGCCAAATTCAGTTAAAAATAGTAACGCTGAAAATACTGCCAAGAGTTAAATATTATAGTTGATTTACATAAAACTTCTGCGCCGCGTAAGAACGTGAATGAAGTTTAACCCTGTTCGCTTCCTGTAGTGTTTTTGCGACAGTTGTGTTCGTCGTGCGGCTGTCGTTCTGTTTAGACAGCAGCATGAGCGGATCCCCAGCGTGCGTCTGTTCCAGTTTCGCTGCGTGATGGTCCACACTTTCTCAGCTCTTCTTTAAGTACTGGCTGAGCGAGTTAGGATGTCCGAGAGACTTTTATCAGCGTCTCCAAACTGGTACTGCTCCCGGTCCAGTGACACGAATGTCAAGGGAGTTTTGGGGTTTGGAGCTAAAAATTCAGTATATTTGCTGCAGATCAGTTCACAATCGCCAGCCATCCTAGGTGAGCTGTTCCCCACATTCACAGTCCCTTAAAAAGGCTGTGTGTTTTTTTTCCTGTACTGTATGCGACACCTTAATTATATTGTCAGTACCTTAAAGCTATACTTTTCAATTCTGTTTATGTACTTAACATCCTTAACAAGACTTAACATCCTTCCCTATTGCAGCTGTGTACTCTGCCCTGAGGTGTCGAATAACTGCCTTGTTCCTCTCAGGTGAGCTGACTGGCCACAGAGAGCGAGTCTCGGGTTTTACTTTTTGTCGCTACCCTGGCCAAGAGGACCTCTGCGCAAGCTGCTCAGATGACGGGACTGTCAAAGTCTGGGACTCGCAGAAAAGAGCTCTGCTGAAAGAACACAAAGCCCACCAGGTGAGTGCAGAGCTCTCTGTAGGCTCCCCCGGGGAGCTCTATTCAAATGAGTCCTTGCTGTTTCTGTGATTACTCCAGAGTGTTTTTATAATTATAATAATTGCCCTCACTTATACAGCGCTTTTCTGGACACTCCACTCAAAGTGCTTTACAGGTCATGGGGATCCCCTCCACTCCCACCAGTGTGCAGCCCCACCTGGATGATGCGCCAGTCCGCTCCCCACACACCAGCTCTCAGTGGGGAGGAGAGCAGAGTAACGAATTCATAGAGGGGGATTATTAGGAGGCCATGATGGTTAAGGGCCAATGGGAAATTTGGCCAGGACGCCGGGGTCACACCCCTACTCTTTTCGAGAAACGCCCTGGGATTTTTAATGACCACAGAGAGTCAGGATCTCGGTTTTACGTCTTACACGAAGGACGGTGCCTGTTTACAGTATAGTGTCCCCATCACTATACTGGGGCATTAGGACCCACATGGACCGTAGGGTGAGCGCCCCCTGCTGGCTCCACTAACACCTCTTCCAGCAGCAGCCTTAGTTTTTCCCAGGAGGTCTCCCATCCAGGTACTGGGCAGGCTCACACCTACTTAACCTCAGTGGGTGGCCAAGTGTGAGTTGCACAGTGATATGACTGCTGTTTTTAGTAAGATTTGCCATTTTAATACACCCCCTTCATAAGAGAATCACAGAGACCACAAGTGTGAGGCGGTGCTTCAGGCAGGTTCTGCTTTTTTTGGGTTTGTCTGACTGCTCCACTTGTGCTGCAGTATTTTGGCTGTTCTGTTTCCAGAGCACCATAACAGCGCTGCACTGGTCTCCCATTGAAAAGGACCTGGTGGTCTCCGGGGATGAGAAGGGGGTTGTGGTGTGTTACTGGCACAACAGGAACGACACACACAGCTTCTTCCCTGAGCCCAGGAATATCTTCTGCTTGTCCTGTTCTCCTCACAATGAGAACCACATCGCTGTGGGGTAAGTACTTGCCAAATGAGTGGACATTTTCCATGCAGCTGACGAGTCATTCTGAATGTCTTGTAATATACAAACTGTTCATCTCTTCCAGTGTGTTACGGTACATAGCTGGTGGGGGGTGGGGCTGGTACCTCTGACAGCTCACTGTCCAAACCTGGGGTACCCAGAGTTCTCCCTGTTTTGTCACTCCAAATGATCACTGTTGCTTTAATTGTTCAAGCAGTGCGCCTTATGTTAGTCACGTTCATGACGCAAATCTGAATTGGCTTTATTTGCATATTCGTATTTCACAATCACAGTGATACCACATGTCATTTCTCAATAGACCTGTTGGAAAAAGCTTTTTTTGCATTACCAGTGGTTCTCATCTAACTGAAAAAGAAAAATCTCAAGCTCTTGTCTTAAAATCAGTGTACACCTTGAGTTCTTGGTGCTGTATTTTGATGGCGGAAGTTACGGAAAAAGGAAAAATATCCACACACAGGAGATATAGATGGTTTGTTATGTGGCTTTCCTTGTGAAGGTAGGGGCCTGGCGGGTCCTTGGTGCTGTTAGCGAAGCTCTCGCTGACCTCTCCCACAGGTACAAAGATGGGATGGTGATTGTCATTGACATCAGTAAGAAAAACGAGGTCGTGCACCGGCTGCGAGGCCACGATGACGAGATCCACGGCCTGGCCTGGTGCCCCCAGCCTGGCGAGGAAGCGCTCTACAGCCGGCCGGCGGAGGAAAGCGCAGGTACAGAGCTCTCGCCAGGTGACCTAGGTGGGCATCATGGACGATAGGTGCAGGGGTTCTGAAGAGGAAGAAGATGGAAAATATGAAGAGCTGGAATCATCCAGCTCTTTGGTATGAATGCCAGTCTTGTTTCTGAGCGTCTGCCTCAGACCCCGCATGATGCACAAACCCAGACTTTCACACAGATCTGCGTC